TCTCACTCAGAGTTCTTCGACGTTACAAATCGTAGAGACTGCTAGACCAGTTCCCTCGTTGGTGTTATAGCCCTTTTCTTACCTTCTTTATAAGCATAGCCCCAACGCGCCGAGTAATCCAATCCCGCTTAGTCGGCCCCATACTCAATGAAAACATTTGGACTTCTGAAACGTTACTTCTGTTAGTTCGGCTGACCAATTGCTTCTGCAAACACTACGTGGAGAGGCTTGTGGGCCTTTCCACGCTTTACCAATGATCACTTCTCATCTAAACCCTAACCTTTCTATCGTTTTCTGTTTTCATTCCTTTTTAACTTGGAAGGCCGGCTTTACTGCCCTGCCGTTATCTTGTCTCACCTGACCCGTCTGTCACCTTCTGCCTGCTTTTCTTTTCCTATTATTCATGGCCTTTTCTCTTATTGCGCTCCATTTTTATTCCCACGGCTTACCCTTATTGCGCCTATCCAAGTTATCCTCGTGCACATGGTCTCTTTCTCTCAGAGCTCGCTCCTGATTATTGGCGGCACTCGGACCATTGCTAAGTGTTCTCGCCTAGTACTTCCATTAATATGCTCAACTTGCCACGCTTCCTATTCCTATGCTCATTACCTTATGCTCGCATTTGTCTATTATTGAAACCGTAGTGTCAGAACGACTCCCAATGCACTGCAGCTTTGGCCCCTGTGACCATTTTCCTAGATTCCGACGGCTTTTGGACGGTAAAAAATCATGAGCGCTTCAGCGTAGTTACTCTTACAAACTGCGCTTTGCACTGCGGTCAGCATTCATTCGCTCCTAGCCGATTCCTTGAAAGTCCTTCTACTTTTGGTAACGTTGCTCTACCTATCTTCCTCCCGCATTCGGTTTCAACCTAGTTGTCCTTTGTTTCACCTAAGATGCCTTTCGCATTCGGACTTCTGTCATCATCATCGGTTTACCCGTTTCTCTCCAACCATCGCATCTTTCGCTTGACTTTTGTTAAAACACTTTGTTATATCGGCCTTTTGTACCTGCGCGTGCAGAACATTCTTCCCACTTAGTAGTTGTAGTCTGAGTCACACCAGCGACGTAATGTATAGAACGCGCTCGCAAATCATTTATACTAAACAAAGTTACATAATTTTTAATGTATCATAGGCACCTTTGAGCGCCACCAGTCTGTGTTAGTGCTTCTTGATTCATTGCTGTCTCTGTTTGGCTGCCTCTTGTTCGTTGCCCGTTTTTCCCGAGATTCCCACAGTTACATCGCCAAAACAAGAAGGTTTATCCACTAGGACTGGTCGACCCACCCTAAAACGCTTGGTCCTTTCTCCGGAAAATGAAAAACCCACACACTGTTCCAAATGGAGCTCTTTCCGCAATTGTGGAGACGCTACCTTCACGGGGTCTAAACAAATGGGTTTAGCTCGCCTCGTACTCAGAGAGAACAAGTTACTCACCTGGAATAATACAGTTACCTGGATCCACCGTTCAACAACCGAAGACAAACAACTCTGGCGTGATTACCTTCACTGCCTCGAACATTCCTATTCGCCAGTCACATGGAGCTATTCTGATGTCATTTCACGGACAGCGTTGCGCACGTTTACGTGGCTTTTCCGATGGCCTTCCATGGAATTTTATCTTGGCTTTGGAAACAGTTGCACTTACTTACATTTGAAGAAATCCCGAATTTACTTTGCGGATACTTGCCTTTTTACATATTAAGGACATATTCAGCCACAAGAAAAAACTTCACTCACCGACCCATGACAAGTCTAGCGTGGATAGTTGGATACGGTTTGCGAGCCGAACAAGAATATAATAGAAAAGCCAGCCTCTATTTACAATGGGTTTACTCACCTGCATCATTATCATTAGACTCTTCGAATCTTGAATTATTGACCGGCTTCAACGACTGCTGCCGTAGCAGTACTAAGCCATTCGGCCAACCAAAGATGAGTTTTGGCTGTCAACCGACTGCGAATAATAGAGTGCAAAATCGGGCTCTACGCTGCATTGCCGACTTGCACTACTGTTCAACGGAAGCTACGGCAGTGTTCCAGTACGTGGTGGGTTTTCGCCTGGTAAGCGTTCTCCCTATAAAAAGCCACAAATGTCCGCTTAACAACACCGCTACGTGGCGGATGTGACTCGCCACAAAATAAAGTCACAGCTAGGCATTTCACACTGACTCAGTCCGCAGCCTTCTACATCCAACCTATGCAACTAATTCTACTATGAAGAATGTTTTGTTGGAGCACAGATCAACCCTATCTCGTAATGGTTGTTGGTTGCAACAAAACCTTGTTTAGGCTCCTGTGCTCACAGATGGGACCGACACATCCGCCACTGGCGCGATTTTGAATGCGGGCTGTTGTTCATGAGGACAACCTGTTTCTGCGTTCTGAAAAAGTAAACGTTTTAATGGAGGAATTTCTATCGCAGCGTGTTTGCAAGGTGTTCCAAACCTCCAAAAATGCAAAAAAGGTTCTGTACCATGCTTAATTAAAAAGTTGACTAAAACTGTAAAAGTTGAAATATATCATTAAGTAAGGCGTTAAAAAGGAAAAGGAGTGTAAAATACAGTTTATGTAAGTCCTCGGCATTTATTTCATAGAAGAGTACATTCGCAGAATGTATTGTTAATGTTGCAAGACATAGGGTAGTCGGCGTTGACTAGCTGGCTTATGGTAGTGTGGATTGATTTCTAGTGCAGCTTGCAATTGGCTTTGGTAACCGTATAATGTATATGATGAAGAGATTCCTCGCTACTGGAGAGATAAAGCGGTGTGTATGTGTAATAATGGTAAATGCGTTTTAAAGCTCTCTCTAGCTGTCTATATATATATATATATATATATATATATATATATATATATATCTATATATGTAATAATATATTTATGTATACCTAAGTATGTATGTAAATATATTGGTACATAAATATCTATATATGGATATGTATACACACATATATATATGTATATATATATATATCTTTGTTACAACGATATGTATATACTGATGCGTAATGTGTATAAATATGTATATATATATATACGTAATAGGAACTATATATATATATATATATATATATATATATATATTGCACTGAAAGGCCCATGTGTGTATAAATGCATGGGTTATTGACTACTGTATACAAGATTGATAAGAAAGAACGTAACCAAAATGAACGTTGTAAACGGATGCAGTGTTAGTCTCTGTACTAAAGCATGGTGTTTGCATTATACCTGTGACATAGTAGATGGGAAATATATCCCGAATTATAATTCGTATGGTAATCCAGTGATTACATATGGCAAAAGGTTATGCGATAAACATTTGCGGTTTATGAATCTATGTATGAGTATATGCATCTGTTTATATATATATATATATATAAGTGTTTAAAAGTCGCAAATGTATATCGCATAACCAATTGCGATATATACATATACATATAAATGGGATGAGCTATTGGTTCGCATTTACCTTTGGTAACTGCTATAGCCTTTAATCACGCAAGGGAAAATGAGTTCGCATGACTTGATGGTATGTGATTGCGAAATCCGGTGATTTCTGAGCGGAATAGGTTCTATGCAAGAAATTGGGTTCAAGAGGCAGTGTGTATGGAGCAATGAATATGGCGTCCTTAAGAGTGACTTACTTAATCGATGGTGTTATGGAAAGAGGGGGAAATGTGCAGCTGAAAACCTACCAGCAAAAGCTACGTGATTTCTACGTCAGTGGGAGTAATAACGGACAGTCCTCACGTAGATCGAAGGGTCACCCACGGTTTCCCTTCTAGGAGGGGGGCTGTGTAGCGACCTGGAGATTCCCCCGTATCACTGTGTAAACTATTCTAAAATACATTCAAATTATAGCTTTCTTATGTATTAGGGAACTAGGCGGTTTTCGTTTTAGATCTATCAAGAACTAACACCTTATCATTTTCTGGCTCAACGATTTCCTCAAGAAGGAACACTCAAAGGATTTTCCTATCGTTCCAGTCCATCTGAATCTGAAGGCTAAATAATGAGGGTTATGCGTGCAATAACGGTGCTGAGCGGTTCAGTTCCTTTTCCTTGACCATAAACAAGGCTGCCCCTGGCTGCCTCTAAGGAAGCTACAGTGTTCCTTTGAGGAACGTTCTACCGCAATGACCAATAATGCCATGAACCCCTGGAGCAAGTTGCGGCGAGGAAGCCTTCACGCAGTATTGAAGATGCGGACGGAAGATATGCGAGAACATCCTCGCAATCATGTCGGCAGTTACGACCCCGAAAGAACGGCGTTACAACCGCAACATTCTGAAACCCTTACTAGCGACATTTTTCCAGCTGTCAACAGAATGCAAAACAGAGGAATGAAGGACACCTAGGTGTACTTGGTTGGGGACAAGTGGGAGTTCCGCCTCACGGAGTACGTAGCTCGAAGGCGGGAAGTTTGCTCCAAAACGAAGGACGGAACACGTACGCCGATTGATGGCCAGTAGGCACAAAGTAGACCAGTCCCAGAGCGTAACACCTCAGCGTTTGTGATAGCCTCAATCGGGGTACCTTATCAAATGATTTCGAGGTAAACCAAAAGCACAACCGTCAGGTGGCCATTGTCCGCTGCCTTCCATTCGGAAGTAAATGTACAGTTGTCAAGTGAAATGGAAAACACCATGGTCAGCGATCCCGTCACTTACACCGGCAGCTCTTGCAGAAGCTTCCGGTGAATGGAATCAGCCGCAGCAGCTTCGGACCAGTGCACTTCTTGCAGCAGTTTAAGCACGTGCGTTTATACACCACTTAAAACAGCTACATAACAAACCATCCGTGTCTTACAATCACAGCGCGCGGCGTTGTAATTGGAACACACAAGGCACGATGAATAACACCCAGGCCAAACGTAGCACAGGTAACAAAATAGTCAAGGACATATACAGTTGGGGAAGAAAGGCATTGCCGTGGGAACTTACCGATTGCAAGCGGTTTCTATTTGCAGAGTTCATTCATGCGGTATTCCATTACTATTTCTGTGTATCTCTAAAGAAAAGTAATGTAAACAACGTGAAACGGAACTTACCCACAGCAACGCGCACATGTATATGCCGCTTCCCCATGGTATGAAGCGCAGGTTTGATGAAACCAACGCAAGCAAACATCACAACTTATCCACTCGACGATCTCAGAGCTCCCGCACGCGTCCTCTTCCTCCCCACACAAAGAGCAAACCGCACTGTCCGCTTCCTTTTCAGCGGTGCCTCTCTTTGTACCCCATGTGTATGTGCGGTGGCGGGCAGATGTCCTTCTTTTAAGCGTCATAAATGTCAACTCCCGTGAAGTCATGCTGCCTTCCACCACCTCAACTGCACGGGTTAGCAAAGGCGACTTCCGCCTGCGACGCCTGCGTTCGGCGCACGGAGACTGGGAAACACCAGCCACCGGGGACACCAATGTGATCCCTTCGCTGACTTCCCTCTCCGGTGAATTCATGCCGTCACGCGTACCATTGCCCGCCGTCACGTGGGTAGCTGCACCGGAGGATGACGGCTCCATTCCCTGGAAAGTAGGCAGGTTTTCCGAGGATAACAGTTGCAGCTGCTGCAACTGCGATGACCGCGCGTAAAGCTGAACATCATTGTGGCTTGTGAGCAGCTCCCGCACGCATGCGAACACACCCATGGTGCGCTGGAACTCCTCCGTGCCCATGCTCAGAATCTGCGTTTCCAGAGACGCAAACATATCCCGAGTGATGCGAATTTTCGCCGCCCGATCAAGAACTACATCACTGGGGCATCTCACCGGAGCCACCGTCAACGTCCCTTCCGTATCCTCCGAAGACATCGGCACACATGTGCTTATCGATGGCAATACCCAACGGCAACCACGAAGCACATCCTCCTCCTGGTAGGCGTGCAGGCTCGCAACGTGTATTATGTGCGCACATGGAATGCGCCACTGCCGATTAAATCTGCATCCACAAGCGCAGCCATTTCCGATGACAACACGTTGCATACCAATGCGCTCGTCCTCCACCAGCCAACAACCAACGCCTTCGTTGACGCTGCGAATACGAACACGAACACTGTGCCGCGCGTACTGCCGCCGGGCGTAAGACGAGAGCCTGCGCAATATCACGTCCCCAACGCTGGCTCCGTGCTGAACGTGGCATTCACCAAGTTGATCTCTGCCCAGCAGTGTTTCCCTCTCCTCAATCATGCTACTTGCACGCTGCACTATCACTTGAAACAGGTGAAGTAACGTGGACCGTTCACTCAAAGTTTCTTTCAGATGCTTGTTCTCATTTTCAATGCGATTGGTACTGTCGCATCCAAATAAAACTACATGGTCCATCAGATGCGCCGCCCAGCTAAGCCGCCATGGAATCCATGTACGACGCAGGTATTGGAAGCATTCTGCGCTCCGCAGAGATATCGCTTCCATAATCCGATGGTAATGAGCGCAGTCGTACGTATACAACAATGACCGCAGCATGCTGAAAAGAGCTCTCTTATCTTCAGGGTTACACAGCGGAAGGTGTGAGCAACGCCGCCGCATGTCACGCATAATGTGTACCCGACAGAAAACAATGTTCGCATTGGGGTACGCATTACGGAACGCGTTCACTTGCGCCGCGCACTTGTCCATCACCAACGTCCGAGCACCGGCAACCGAGGGGGCCAATTCCAACATACCTCTCACTGCCTCCTCGTAAGCTACCTCCGTCTCATTAGGCAACAGGGCATAAAAGAAGCTCATACCGAGGCCGCTGACATCCACAAACATGCAATGCCACAGGATGTAGCCTCCGTAGTTGATCTGATACGTGGAGTCCGCCAAAATTACCTCCCCGTACTGGCCCACCAATTCAAGCATGCGCGAGGGTACGAAAAATAGGTAACGAATCTGATTACCCGCATGCAGAATTTTCACTTCACCATTTCTTTGCAACATTTGAGTCACCTCCTCCACCTCTGTGACACAGGCCTTACGATGACGCCGCCGCATAACATACAAATCCCTCCTTGTTAAACGAATGTCATACTGCTGCCGCACAAAGGCCCGCATCTCCTGGGTCCGACGAAACGTTCTCATTAAGTTAAGCACCAGCCTCTCCTGCTCTTCCGATAGCCTCCGATTACACGCATACAACCAAGGCTTCCCAACTTGGAAGCTGTGCGAATGCCACAGATACGCATTCCCAATTTCGTAACATTCGCCCTTATACGTCACAGAAAAACGCGCAGGGCAATCGTAACATCGGTACCTATAGTAATCTTATCATGAGGCAATTGCAATGCACTTACCGCTTTCCAGTGACATTACTGCGCCTCCCATGCACACATACAAACAGAATATATCGGTATGGGCATCCATCCGGTAGCACCTGTCCAGTCTCCCTTTCGTACGCCTTCGCAGATTGCACGTTACGACGAACAAAGGAAGTCGCCGTTTTAATCTGAAACTCTTTCAGATCCTTCTCCACCGATGCGAAGTCCAGATAAGGACCCTTCAACAAACGTCGGAATGCAAGCGAGTCATCCACCATGGCTGCTACGCGTGAGGCGGGAAAATGATTAACCATCGTAACGCATTTAAACCACTTAGTAAATTGATTTCCAATTGAGGTCGTAGGACTTTAGCAAGCGTACTCAATCATTAATAAACAACACTATGAGTTCAATGTCAGGCAAATCGACATCACATGACCTGCCACCCTATGTACCGGGATAACACTGCCGAAGGAGCGTTATTTCCAAGTGGCGGATGGGACGCTCTCCTCACAGATCACTACCTGGCGAAATTACCCCCAACTTGTGTTTTGACGGATTTTTTGCGCGCCACAGCGCCATAACGTTCCTTGGTCTGACTATTACCTGACAATATGCTCACTCATAAGGACTACATCTTTCCTTTTATACCTTTAATTAAAATGAAATGTTTTAACGTTCCAAAGAAGCTATGCTTGTATGCATATTTGATCACGCCTTTACAGGTGTGTCTCGTTTTACCGAGAATATACCATTTATTTTTTTATTTTTATCTCAAACATGCCTATGAATTCCCGATCCGATGATAGACAAGCGAAGGAACCTTCACGGGTTTCTCCTATCATTCCGGTCTTAAGCAAACTTGTACTTGAGTTAGAAGAGTCACATCAGCTCCAGCCATTCACATCACCTGCATTGGCAGCTTTTGCTCCACCAAAAACAATTGTGGCAACTGAGCGGGCCAAATATGTCCAATAAATTTAAAGTGAACTCGTGGTGAATTGGATCCTGTTCCAGTAAAAAACGGCACAAATACAGCTCTGCGCAGCTTTCACAACAAAAGATCAAGGAGCTCAACATCACCAGAAAGTACCAGCAAAATTTTAAGGTGGGCGCCTGCGCCCCCATCAGCTGTGCTCCAGACAATGCCAATGCATTCTTACTAGCAAACTAGAAACATATACTCGTATTTTACCTACTTCCAGGCAAGAGCATAGGATTAATGTAAAGACTGAGCTGAACCCTTACAGATGCAGCCTCTAGCCGGCTAGCCGAACAACCTTCCAGTGCTGCCAGCCGGTTGGTTCGGGTAACTCCCGTTCCAGCAAATGGTTCAGCGGCAGTGTTCCAGGATGTGGTGGGATTTTGCCTGGCAAGCGTTCTCCCCATAAAAAATTACAAGTATCCGGTTAACAGCTCTGTGATGTGGCGGATGTGCCTCGCCACTAAATAAAGTCTCTGCTTCTTCCCTTTTCCGGAGGAGCATTCACATATCACAAACGTCATCCGATTCAAAGCGTTCCATGGATTCCGCCTTTGATGGCGCACACTACGAACAAAAGCACACACAGTCACATTTACCTACTCACCCAACATGTCCTCTTCCAAATATACAGTTAAACATAGTTTTACATCTCAACACACACATAAATTCCCATGCTATTGATCAAAATATACTAATTTGTGCAGTTGCCGATCATCCATGTCTGTACTACCATGCTCACGCCCTTGGTGGCGTGCCTCGCAATAACGAGAATAAACTATTTATTTATTTATTTATTTAAGACCTTTAGGAGCCGTAAAGTAATATAGTTAATAATGTACTAAGGCGATTAAGCATAGGAGTGTACGGGAAATTTAAGCGCTGAAGGCCTGGAGCGCCAAGTCGGTGTTCGAAATCGTTCTCCTTTGGTGTAGATACCAAGTTATCAGAAAGTTTATCCCAGGAACCCACCGTTTGGCTTGTTAAACGAACGTCCGCCCGGACTTCATGCGATTAATGTTTGTGTAGCTTCATCGAGTGCCCTCGGAGAGATGGAAGCCAAGCCGGTTGAAAACGTCATATAAATTGGATCCGATTTTCCCGGTAAGTATTCGATAGGTCAAGGGTAGATCGCCTCGCTGGCGCTGATAATGCGTTAAAAATTATACTCTCCAAGAAACGAGAAACACCAGTACAGGCATGGTTAACTGGTTGACAGAGCCATAGAAACACAAAAACGGGTGTATACCACACGACAGCAATACGTGTTGGCCAAATACATGGTTTGAAATTTGCACATAATTTGCACAAGCATGATGCAGGGATAAATTGCTTGATCAATGGGGTCAAAGAGAAAGGTGGCGCCAAAACGCTGTACAACCACCGTGTTTCTCTAATGGAAATGCGGGGAGCGGGATCAAATGGTTCCGAAAATTGATCTCCGCTTTTCCAGAGACGTAGGAGTCCAACAGTGTTTACTAAACACGTGCTCGCAGATATTGTTTATTGAGATCATTCTTTGTGTGAAGCAGTGGCCATTGACTTTATTTCGGTGGCGAGTCACATCCGCCGCGTCGCAGTGCCGTTAAGCAGACAGTTGTGGCTTTTTATAGGGAAAACGCTTGCCAAGCCATAACCCACCACGTCCTAGAACACTGCCGTTGACCACAATGTACATAACAGGGAAATAGTATCGCTTTTGTAGCACCGATTTTCCGAACGGCTAGTCGCAGTCATGGGACACCCGATTTTCCGTTGGCTCAGCGGAAGGCTTGGTCAGGATTTATAAGGAACGGATGTGGACAACGGTACTGTTCGGAGATAAGCTGTGTAAATTGTGGTGCTGCG